CTCCTCCTCCTCCTCCTCCCCCCCGTCACCTCCTTCCGAGTGTCTCTCTCGCCGAATCGCACCGCGTATACCGGCCGCGGGTGCGAGCGAGCCCGCAATATGCACGTTCGTCCAGGAGAGAGCGAGATGCCACGCTATACTGTCCCGCCGAGTGTCTAACCTAGGATAGTGTTTAGTGGCGGCTGCTAGCCTAGGCGAACCGAGAGTTGCCGCTCAGAACGTTCAGTGTTCTTTCGCGCGGCCAGAGACGCAAACGTGCAAATTCTCTACGTTACTCTCTCGCGTAACGCGTATGTATCTATATCCTATGTACGCTTTAGTGATTGATTCATTTTACACGTATATATATATATGTATATGTGTGTATCCAGTAATTTGAATTTTTTTTGTTAACTTTTTTAAAAGAAATTTTCACTTTTTTTATTTTAATTTTCACCCTATACACTTTTGTTATGACGACTTTTCTGACGAAGACTTCGGAAAACATGACGATACGTCGTTTAGCGCGTAACGGATGATCGTGCCTTTGGAATATGAGCACACGACTTGTGAGTGTCATAAATGAAAGTGATGAATTTTCATGGGAATTGGATGGGGATATATGTATACATATTATTATATATATATATACGTGTATACTGAACGTGCATTTTTTTTAACGTACTTACCGTACATTGCTATCGTCAATATCAATGTGCTCCGTGGGAACGGGAGAAAGATTGATTTTAAAAAATTGCCAATTTTCTTCTTTTCTTTTTATATCCTCATCTCCGCGACATTAAAGTTACGGATACGAGGATCGCGCGATTGGCTTCCGAGTTTGACAGTTTCTTTTTGTTTCCTTCTTTTTCAGAAACGTCTCGCGGGTTTTCGTCATTGACCGTGTAACGTTGATCGCGAATTAAAAAAAAAAGAGACAGCGTGGACGAAGTTTTAATGCGATATCTATTATAAAGTCAGTGAAAGCGACGGGGATAAAGAGAAAGATGAATAATAACAACAATAGTAATAATAGAGATTTTTTATCGTAAAGACCAAGAGACACTTTTCATTTCTCTTATATTTTTTTTTTTTAATTTTTTCAACAACTTGTCATTCGTACTCGCCGCTCGTGGTGCTTCGCGTTCTCATTGGTCAAGAATCGCGTACGTCTTTATTTCAACGAACGTGAATATAAATATATAAACACGAGGCTCGAGCGGGAAGACGTTATTGTTTACAGCGTGACGTAAGGCCCTCGGTTGCATCTAAAATCCCGGTAGAACCCCGTGCACTCGTACGTATTGCGAAACGCGATGCAAAAACATTTTTGTCAAATTTCGCCAATTGTTTGAAGAACCGATCCGCTCCATCGTGGCCGAGGACAACAAACGCGACTGTTTTGTAATCGGCTGAGAACCTGTCACTGTGCAAAAGTGCGACATGAGAGGAGTAGTATAGTGCGACTACTGTACCAGGGAACGTGAAACTTTCTGGGAGATCCCGGTGCACTGTCATTCAAGTTTCGGGGCCACACTTTGGACCCATATGCGACAGCACTGCCTTTCATTAGGTTATAAAAAGAAAGAAGGTAAGACCGACAAATTTTCGTTTCTTAAGAATAACGTTTTTCCGAGTTGAAATTAAAGAAGATAATTTTTTATATGACACTTTTTTTTTTGACAAATTACGTAAAGTACAAAATATTAGGTCAGCGTCCTTAAACGTCGTTGAAAATACGACGAGCGTGTTCGTTGCTCGTCGATAGGTAAAACGTGAAACTTTGCACTTTTGTAAAAGCCGATAAAGTCATTGTATAACTTACGGGGACGAGTCACGTTTCTCAAATCGACGAAACTACTGCAGCAGCTCGACGGGCAACGTGGCCGGTCGGGTCTTTGGTGGCGACGAGTATCGTGACTTGTGGGGGGAGGACATGGAAAAGCATTGGTGATACGAGAGGAGAAAAAAGGGATAAAAAGGAAAAGGGAGGAGTCAAGCGATTAGGAAAAATTGTTTGGTTATATTCTGTACTCGCGAAATCTGGGTCGTGTCCACCGTTTATGAATGAACCGATGTAATACGCTCTTGGGAATCGAAAGGGAGATGGGAGACGTCAGGCGCGACTTGGTGCGAGATAAGGACAGAGCGGTCAAGTAACGCTAAACACACTGTACCATAACCCTACAATGATCGCTTGTAGTCGAACGTTAAAATTACGTAGGCGAAATATTCAGTAGCTTACTATGCGTGCACTGTAGTTTGGTTGGGTACAGTTTGATTTTCACGTTTCGCCCGAAGTAAACACAAACGTACTATACACTAATCCGGCGCGCTTGCGTTGAGCGTAGAATAAGACGCAGCTATACTTATTAAAAGTATTTTAAGTCTAGGCCAAGCTTCGGCCCTCGGATCCTACCTCCTCCTGTACATAGTTCCCTACCCGCTGTTGTTCTCTGGCCGTGATTAGTATAGCAGTGACTACCGACGTACAGTCATGGTATAATGGTAGTTATGTAGTATAGAGAGCATAAGAGAAGAGAGTGAAGTCAGACCTCTCTTCGCGCTAATATAGTTAAGAGGTTTAGTAGCGACTCTCTCTCTCACTCACTCACTCTCTCACTCACTCTTACTGCCAGTAGCCAAGCTCGGTTACGTGGCGGCCTTGATGGGCCAGGGCCGAGGGCCAAAACTATCAGTCGCCTACGCTGTAACGTAACTACGGTATAGCAGTGTAGGTGTGATATACGGAGATTGATAGCAAAAAGTCATAAGGGCCCCGCTTAGCCTTGTATTCCCATTCGAAGGTTTCACGGTGTACAGCATCCGTTTCAATATGGGTTAAGTTCGTCCGGTATAGATATTTAAGGTTAGGACAGCGAGGACGATCGTAGACTAGGCTTCCCCTTGAGTCCTTAGTACCTTTTGCCAACTCGATTAATATTCCGAATGGACTCGTCTAGGAGTATATTGGAAATAGTTTGGTATTTCTGGAGGTTAATGGTGACCCGGTATGTTAGTCTGAGGTAGAAGAAATATATGTGAGAATATATATATATAGGTATATTATGTGAACGTAGGTAATGACGTAGGAGGATGGTTAGGGTAGTCGCCGGGGGACACCTGTTACGTCGTGGCACTATAGATTAGGTTATTTACCTACCCAAAGGAAGAGAAGGAAGGCGAGTGGCAGGTAGGGTTAGGTTCGAGCGTATGTAGAGTTGGTAGTCGGTTTGTTGGTCTCTCGGTCGTTCCTCGGGTGGGACTGTCGGGTGAGACGGAGGAGGTGGCGTCGGCGTCGATGTGAACCACGGACCTTGAGATCCCGGACGGTAAAAGTAAATGACCTCAAAATACGTAATGAGCGCTGGATGTGACCTATCCTCCGGTCCACCGGGTCTGTGAACCCAAATTGGGACAGAGCCTTGACTTGGGCATTGGCAACGCCTCCTCGAGATCCCTCGGATACGTAGCCGACAGATTTATACGGGACCCAAACGGTATTCCGAAATAACTTCTCTACTGGCAGTCCGATTATTATTGGGACTCGTTATCTATCTGTTTTAGCTCGGGCCCCACGCTCCCTACCAGGTCTTGTCCTTCGGACGTGTCGTTTGGGCCAGTCTCGAGTATTCGTTATTGGCGACGCTCGAAAAGACTGTCGGTAAAACAGGGGCGGTTTACGGCGTACAAGAACCCCGCACGTGGATGTGGCAATGCCGTACTGCTGCTGCTCTGGGGCTCGCCCTTGGGCCCAGTCACTGAAAATCCCGGTCAGGGGCCTTAATGGGACCTGGAAAGGGCAGGCATGGATAATATAATCCGATTGCTGGAATTTAATTCAGGGCGACAGAACAAGGGCACCGTATGATGTATACGTTGCTGATTTGACGTAATGCTCGTCACGTGACGCGGCGACGGTGACCGTCCCGACGTCTCGAACTTAAAGTCTAGAGTACGGCGCGCGTCGCGGTTTTCGTTTGTTTGGCATAATCAGCAAACGCAAATACGCTGCCTAACATCACACTTGCAGCGCAATAGCGGAAGGCTGCGATCGTGGAAGGCCGCTGCACCAATGCTATATGATACGTTCGCGTTAACTCCTTGCTTCTCTTTTCATCCCCACTACCGAGCGGCTCTCGTCAGTCTGTACCCCTCCTCTCTCTCTGTCTATCTCTAGCTCTATCTCTCTTCGCCAACTTACTATGTCTGCTCATTCGTCTTTGGTGTTCCATGCTGCTCACTACGTGGTCTGTTTTATTCTAGAACATTTTGTTTTTTTAAAGAAAACCTGAAATTTTTATCCATAACATATTTAATTGACTGTTATGGAGGATTCGAAGCGCCGTTATGCTTTTGCCTTATTAGTACGGATCGTTCTGATACTTTCAAACGCAATTGAACGTTAACGATGGATTTTGGGGATTCCCTTTTTTTAGAGGTATTAATTTTTTTTATCTTTATTTCCCCCTTTTTTTGTACATAGCTCCGGTTAATCGACTGTACGGAGCACGGCCGACGGTCGCGGCACTTTCACCAGCTGTGCAGGATACGGCACTTTGTCGCCATTTAAAATCACCGCCTAGCGGCGAACCCGGAAACTACGTGACTTTAGGAAAGACGGCACGAGATCCTTCGACTAGTCCGTGAGGTTACGATCGTGTGCACGTTATTGGAATATTTTTTAAATTTGTTTTATTTACTTCTACCCCCCTCCCTCCTCACTTTTGTATTAGAGCTTTACGGTAGGTACCCCATGCAACGGATAACGTAATCACGCCAAGGGACTCCTAGACGTTCTTAATCGAGGGTCGGAAAAAAAAGATACTCTGGATAAAGGATAGAGGGAAAAAAAATGGCGGGATTCCAGGCCACGGATCTTAACGGATGACGGCCCTTGGCTACCACCCAGGAATAATTACCGATTCTCGAAGCCGTCACGCTTCCGTGGACAGTGCCACGTTATCCCAGCCAATTAGGAAGCCCGAGGACCCCATTTCGCGATCAGGAATCGGCAACCGTGTCGACGACTCTTTCCGCCATTGGACAGAAATCTCGGAAACGTCCCAACCCATTTTTCCAATACCCAAAATGCCCTCCATACCCTTAGACGCTCGACTAGACATTATTTTGTCTCCGTTCGCTATTTCTCTCTCTCTCTCTCTCTCTCTCTCTCTCTCTCGCAATTCCCCCATAGCTACAGGAAAATACGCTGCCTCGCATTTTCCCGACTATAAAAACCCAACCTCAGGATCTGCTGAAATCGATTTCCCTCTTTTGGTCCTCCGTGGATCAGCAGACGCAGCCACGCAGCCGGTATGCCTCGCGGAAAGGACAGAAAGCAGGAAAGACAGACAAAGTAGCGCGAGATGGAGATCTTTGCCTTGCCCGGGGCACAAATCAAGGCCCTTCTTTACTCTCGAAGGCCCCACATGACTCAACCTTATTATTATTGTCAGTTTTATACAGCGTGAGCGTGTACGCGCCTTTACACGTACCCCCCCCCCCCCCCCC